TATGCAAGAATTTGCCGCAAGAGCTGTTTGAATTATGACAATTGCTCATACGATAAGATTAGTTCTAACGCCAAGCTAATATTTCAATGAAATGTGAATCTAAAGCTCACCGCACACGGCACAATAACGGAAGTTACACGCGAAATTGTAGATCGAAGCAAATTGGTTGCAACTAAAATTCTCGTTTACGGGAAAAAATTGCAGTATAATTTGTGGCCTTTGCTTGCTTTCAGAACTAATTCTCGATATATTGATGTGTATATGAAAAATGCCATTAAAAAAACCATTAAAATAACCAATGTCATTTTTCGGAGTAGCATGAATAAAATTGGGACTTATACTTACCCCATGGCCATGCACTCTCAAGACAACAAAGCATAAGATCACAGCGAATATCCACGAAATGGACATCATGGTTATTCTTAAACCTACTATTTTGTTCATTCAGTTCTTTGCCCTTGTATACTGACTATCAAACTTATTGTTTTGCTTAATGCTGGCAGAATATAAATACGTAGGAAGTCTATTAAAATGAGCTCTTTGCTGAAACGAAATAATTATCTTTATCGTTTCAACAATGAAATATTGCACAAGGATCGTAACCTCAGTAATTTGATCTTCATCCTGCTTGCGCAGTACTCGTAGATAATAACTAAACTATGGTGAAAATTTTATTTAAAGTGCCTATATAACTCGTGGGATCTTGATGCATTTGAAAAGAACGTAAAAAGTTAGTTGATATGTTAACGCTTTTTGATTTACTCCAATAATTTCGAAGATACAAGCCTCAAAACTACCTGCGGTTGTTGAGTCCCAGCTTCCTGGGTTTAAACACGGCTATTTAATTTGAAACTGCCCATTGTTTACAGAAGCCTGGGACTCAGGAACTGCAGGTAGTTTAAAGGTTAGTATCTTTAAAATTGTTGTACTAAACCAAAAAACTCCTCTAATACATTAACTAACTTTTTACTTTCTTTTCAGATGCATAAAGATTCCACGAGTTGTATATAGACACTTTAAACAGTAAGTTAAACATACAAAAGAAAACAATTTAAGCTCAACGGTAGTGTATTCCTAACTCAGTTGCTGCAATCATAGTTTAAAGGCGGGTTTCCATTTGCAGCAAAATTGTTCGCTAGCGAAATATTTGCATATTTTCTTTTGAATTTTAATAGCGTAAATAAATTAGTGCGGCTTGATCAAGGTTCCATAACTTCAGGCTCATGCATGCATTTGGAGCGGACAGTACACAATTATACTTTTATCGCAGCAAATATTGTTTTTGAATATTTTTGAACCCCCTGGCCAATTGCGTCGGAAACCTTGACTCCAAATTCCCCTAATCCCCGAGCCGGTGCGGAGCACCGTGCGAGAGTACTAATTCCGCTAGGATATTTACACCCACGATGTGCAAATGCGAAATCAAAGTCGTCAGCCATTATGCAATGGACCTCACGCCATGGACGGTCTTCTACGTCATTCGCATGCGCCAGTGTGAACTACTAAGCTGTTGATTGGTCGAGACAAAAATTTGTATTTTCAAACGTCAACTGCTGGTCCTTCTGGTCTTGATGCACTTGGCTGGCGGCATATTTTAGTGTCTCGCAATTATGGGGACGCTGGAAGAGATCTGCGATTCGCGATTGCGTTAATGGTGAGAACACTTGCAACACGGAAGATTGATATTGAACTAGATCAGACCACAAGTTTGGAGGCGTTTTTGGCGTGTCGCCTAATACCACTGGATAAGAACCCAGGTGTTTGTCCCATTGGAATTAGTGAAGTGCTTCGTAGGATCATAGGGAAGTCAATTATCTTTGCAATTAAACCTCAAATAATGGAAAGCGCAGGTGATGTTCAGCTTTGTGCTGGACAACCAGCTGGCTGTGAGGCGGCAGTTCATGCCATGTCAGAAATCTTTGCAGAAGATGAAACAGATGCTGTGTTATTGGTGGATACTACAAACGCATTCAACTCAATTAACCGGAGAATCATGTTGCACAACATTCAGTACATTTGTCCTGCCATTGCAATTTACACCTTCAACTGTTATGTCACAGCATCAAGATTGTTTGTCCAAGGAGGGAAAGAAATTACTTCTGCAGAAGGTAACACACAGGGTGATCCATTAGCCATGCCGCTGTATGCTGTTGCCATTACACTCTTGCTGCAGTTGATTAAATCTGATGAAGCTAGTGATGTTCGACATGTTGCCTTTGCTGATGATCTTAGTGGTGCTGGTAGACTTGCTCATTTGCGTTCCTGGTGGAAGAACATTGCTATTTATGGTCCCCGTCTTGGTTACTATCCGCGTGCTGACAAATCCTGGTTGATTGTGAAGCCGCACCTGGAGCAGACTGCCAAAGAGATGTTCGCTGGAGCTGGTGTTCGTATAACAACTGAAAGACATAAGTACCTTGGAGGACATCTTGGCTCTGAAGATAGGAAAGATAAGTACATTTCGTCTTTAGTTAGTAAATGGTGTCAGCAATTCCACGTTTTGAGTGAAATTGCTAAATTTGAGCCCCAAGCTACATATGCTGCATTTGTATCAGGGTTTCGGCACAGATTTACTTACCATATACGCACTGTTCCAGGTATCAAGACTGCGATGCGAGTGGTAGATGATTCCATCAGCCTGAAGCTCCTGCCAGCGCTCCTAGACAACCGTAGTGTTTCCATCCATGAGAGGAAGCTTGGTTGACAGCACTGCCACTTGCTAATGAAGGGTATGTCCTTACGAAACGAGAGTTCTTTGACGCAATCTATAGGCGTTATCGGTGGCCATTGAAGCGCCTTCCATCCTTCTGCGCTTGTGGAAAATCTTTCACCGTGGACCATGCCTTGTCGTGCCTGAAAGGAGGTTTTATTCATCGACGACATGACGAAATCCGTGACCTTCTCGCTTCTGCCATAGACGACGTGGCCTATGACGTTTCTACTGAACCTGCTCTTGCTCCTTTAACTGGCGAAGTACTTCCATCCAGTGCTAAATCCGCCGACGACGCCAGAGTGGACATAGCTGCGAGAGGTTTCTGGCAGAGATGTGAAAAAGCATTTTTTGATGTCAGGGTGTTTAATCCTTACGCTTCGACACATCGACGCCAGACTCTTACCAGCTCGTTTAACGCCAACGAACGTGAGAAGAAACGTCATTATAATCAAAGAAATGTTGAAGTTGAACATGGCTCCTTCACCCCAGTCGTTTTAATAATCATTCAACAGATAAGAGTACTAGGCAAATTGTGGAACTTTGCCCAACATTATACACTGCTGTCTCTAATAAACAATTGCTTGGTCCTGGTGTTGTAGAAAATGAGGTAGCTGTTGAATCAACACACCAAGCAGATAATGATAGTTGTCTGAGTGATAGCAGTTCTTTATATTGTCCTTCAGCTTCTGATAATGAGTCTGAAACAGATGATGAATGTTCCAGTGATACTGCACATTACCTAGAAAAAAAAATTATAGTGTTTGAAAGTCAGCTATATAAACTATTTAAAACTTGTCAACATTGTTGTGGCCCAATTGACACCACAACCAAAAAAGATCATGAAAGTATGGTCACAATTACAGCAAACTGCACTAATGGACACACTGTTTCCTGGAAATCGCAACCTGAAATTAATGGCACTGCAGCAGGAAACCTTTTGATTCCAGCAGCTATCCTATTTAGTGGCAACACATACAAACACACTTCAGACTTTGCTCAACACCTTAACCTTCAATTTATTAGTTCCTCTCATTACTATAATGTACAGAAAGCCATATTATTCCCAGTTGTGGAACACACATGGAAAACAACCCAAACAGCCATAGTGAAGCAATTAAAGAAAACCCGCAGTATAGATGTATGTGGTGATGGGCGGTGCGATAGTCCTGGGCATTCAGCTAAATACGGCACTTATACCCTCATGGATGAGAACACAAACTTGATAATTGAATTCAGCATTGTGCAAGTAACAGAGGTTACTTCACCTAGTGCAATGGAATATGAAGGTTGTAGAAGAACGCTGAATTCAATTATCAAGAAGAAAATCCTAATCCGGTGCCTTACAACAGATCGCCATACAACAATAACAGCAAAAATGCGAACAAACTATTCAAAAATTGAACACCAATATGCTGTGCACGTGTGGCATTTAAGTAAATGGGTCACCAAAAAGCTGACAAAGAAGGCAAAAAAGAAAGGGTGTGAAGAGTTGCTGCCATGGATACAGAGTGTGTCTAATCATTTGTGGTGGTGTGCTGCAACATGTGATAAGAATGCCGATATCCTAAGGGAAAAGTGGCTATCGCTGTTACAACACATCACTGGTAAGCATAGTTGGAGGCTCTCTAAGGAAATTAAACTAATAAAGAAATGTGGACACCCTAGCCTGACTGCAAAAGACCAGAAAAGCATCATATAGCTGAAAAATGGTTCACTTGCTCATGTTGCCTTAGAGGAAGTTGTGACCAACAAGAAGCTGCTGAAAGATATTTGTAAGTTGACAGAGTTCCGTCGCACTGGTGAGTTAGAGTCCTACCATTCTGTTATGACAAAATATGTACCAAAACGTGAGCATTTTTGTTACAATGAAATGATAGCTCGAACTCAGTTAGCTGTCTTAGATCACAATGCAAATGTGGATAGGAGTCAGGCAGAAGTCATGAAGAGCGAGAACAAAGGTGAGAAGAGGTACAAGGATGCTTGTGGCAAACAGAGGAAGAATTGGGTGGCCAAGAAGATCAAGACCCCAAAGTCCTACAGCCATGTTATGGGTATGATGAATGATGTCATTTTGTACAAGGAAGGCAAAAAAATGAGTATAAGCCAACTACCCAAGCTAAATGCATAGCACCAACTCCCAAACCACCAAAACAAGATGTTATTGAACAACACAAAACCAGATTGAACCAAAAACAGTGAAATACTTGTTGTTTTGGTAAACTGGGAGTCTTTGTGTATTGTGATAGTGAAGTCAAATACCTCAAATATTAACACTGTAACAATAAAGCTATTCATCAGGAAAATGAAATCCAACAAACACAAAGTCATCTTCATCACCTGGTGGTGGATAGTGTGCTCGAGTACAGCTAACAGCACAAGATGGAAGAACAACTCGTATTTTTTTCTCTATTACTCCCCAACACCATCGTACTAGCTGACGGTATGCGACCTGCCGAAAGCCTTTGTGTTCGGGACCTTCATCTGCTCTACTTCCATACTCCTGTTTGTATTGTAACCAAGCAGCCTGTAAAACGCATCGATTTAAACAGACTACTTGAAAACCTGGATTATCTGTTATGCAGTGATATGGCATGGTTGGCTTTTCGTGTAGGAAAACCTCATCATTTTTCTAAGCGACATGCTCAATTTCATGGCAACAAACGCATTCTTCCTCCCTATCCATTATCTGGCAATGTTCGCATAGACACCTAACAATAACAAATGATTATGCTGGCTGTGATACACTTAAAGGACAAGAAGACTTAATTTGCCAAATACAAACCATATAAGGTACGGTGTTTTACCAGTCAAAGTTACCCAAACGTTCCTCATTGTCAATCGACATACGCTCGTCTTCTATGTCAGCCGATGATTCACCACTATTGCCGTTGGAATCTCGTCTTGGTTCGAACTGATAGCCCAGGACATCGCCCGCTTGTAAAATATTCAAATGAAATTCGTTTAAACTCTCACCTGAGGAACTAGAACTGCCTGAATCCGATGAATTTTCCATTGAAGAACTTAAAACGTTGGCATTCGTGACAAACTCTGTACAAAACACTTGAAAAGCGAAGCAACAACAAGCGTCGAAGCACGCAATGACGTCAAAAATGAGGGCGCTGGCCGAACTCACGTCTGCACTGGAAATAACAAAATGGCGTTAAAATATGCAAAAATCGCGAACTTTGACGAGCGATTTCTGCTTTACTATAAAGAATTAGACCGAAATACTTCAGGAAAAATCTGTTCAAGGTATTATCTTTCAGATAAACCAAACTTGTTTTGTAGGTGGAGTTCCCCTTTAAAAAATAGATACAAGTTTCCAGCCTAGCCCAATTTGCAATTTTCGATTAACACAACGAATATGAATAGGTGATTAGAAATTCAGTAAATTATTAGGTTATTTTTTTTTAATGAATTGTTCCGCAAAAATCATGAAAGTCAACTGGTAATTTGGCGGATAGGATTATTATTAAAACAAGACGCCTGTTCTGGCGTTAACTCCGGCATACCGCGCACGTGCCACTCTTCAATATAAAGCTTCCGAACATAAACGCTACAAGTTCATACTCATTTAGAAGCCTTGCGAACCTCAACGTTGTTCGATATTCAGACAGCACGTGGTGCTTTAAAAGCACAGACATTTACAGTTCAAAAATGTAAATAAACCGCGTATGTTTACATACGAACACGACTTTCACTTTGTCTTACACTTTGGAATTCGCTCATACACGACCACGCGCCCATGTATACGACCACGTCTTGTTAAACGGCAAATTGGCAGCGATACTAGAAATACATGCATGCATGCAGCAACCTCTCGCCATTTCAAACGAAGCAAAATATTTCCTGAGCTAGCCAGACCTAACCTTCAATATTATGAAATGTCCTAAATGTAAAGCCGATAGCTGATGTTTCAAATTTTTCGGAAACAAATGCAGTCGTAAAGGTGAAGTGAAATCACCCGTTTTCCTGCTGCTTTCCGTTGCATTAAGTTATAGACTTTCACAGTTTAAGTGAGAGTTAATACTCCATTATAACTAAACCTTCAAAACATCAAAGCAGCACAAATAATATAAATAACCAAGCAGTGAACGTCGAATGTTGTTTTTCGATTATTAAATTCACGCAGTGATTCTATAAACCTTTAAAGTGATATTTGTTATATTAAAACTCCAAAATAAACTTTTAAGAACTCTTTTTGGAGTTAAAACGATGATGTACGTAAAGCCCTAAATAGTCGGTCACGTCTTCGCAAAACGACACACTGTACCAAGCTCATAAAATGTATTCGTACAGCAAACACGAAAGAAACCTTGAAATAAACAAAATAGACTCCTACTATTTCAAGGATTATAAACCAGTTGTTCTTTTTCACCGCTAATTCTTATAATAATATAATAATATTGTGTTTTCGAAACATTTTTTTAAAAAAATAGTTTGCAAAATGACAGTTAAATTGCTGACGTTTTTCACTGAAACACGAACGTTTCGTCTTAGCCAATCAGCAAGTTGCTAATTACCAGTCGTCACTCGTTCAAATTTTGCGCGTGCGCACAAGTACCATGACCATTGAACGTCCATGACATTTGGGCGACTTTGGATTCCGCTATGTTCTCCCGGGTTCCGGGTGTAACTCCTAATCTCCGGGCGGAATTAGTACCCTCGCACGGTGCTCCGCACCGGCTCGGGGATTAATAAAATAAAACCAGAATCCACATGTATTAAATGTATTCTTACACCGATTACACCTAAACTTAATCGAACAACATCAAAAGAGGTTTATTCGTGCCTCGTGGAGGAGTTGCCGTAGGCCGTGCCTCGGAAGACGCAGGCTGAGCACCCATACAGATCGACGTGTGTTTTGGAGCTCCGAATCAAACTAATTGAGAATCATATTCCTGCAAGTTATGGCATACAATATTGTGATAACTGCCAAGATAGTAAATCCGCTAGTCGCTGCAAATAGAGGGAAGTTCAAGTGCCAAAGTGATCCTGATTTGCGGAAATAAATCAGGATCTCCTTGCCACTTGAACTTCCCACTATTTGCAGCTACTAGCGGATTTACTATTTTGGCATTTTTTCTCAATATTGACTTATTGTCGAATAACTTGTCGAAAATGTATTACATGTAAAAAGAAAATGGTCGTTCACTCGCGGCGGTTGTAAGCAGATAAAAGCGGACAATATCACTATTCGATTTTATGGAAATGGAAGCGACAATCCATCGAACACAAAAGAAACCAACCAAGTGGGCCAAGCATCTAATTCCTGGCGCACAGCTCCCTCAAAATCCGCAAATGTATGCAGTTCTCATTGTCAGCCCCCACGTCTACAAAACAAGTACTCTGCTTTGCAAGTAAAGGAAGTGGAAATACCGGAGAAAAACGCAGACACATGCAGTTGGGAATGAGCGTCTAGAAGGCAGACAACCTGCTGACGATCAAGAAAATCGGCAGCTGTTTCCCACAAAGAGTGGCCATAAGAAGAAAACAAAAAGGAAGACGGTCATTATCGCTGACTCTCATCAAATACGTAAAACGCTGGGAAATATCAAGTGCGACTAACCGTGTTACGGTCAAGTCATTTTCTTGAACATTGTCGGGAATCATCATAGCCATAGGACCAGATGACTTGTGTGCCTCAAAATGAATTATATCAATCACGATGTGTGTTCAAAATGAATTAAACTTTATACCAAATTTGAATATTAACCCAGCTGATCTCAGCGAAAAATTTTAACCAATCAGCGCGCAGCAAGGAGTCCTAAAATAGAAATCCATACCATGCGGCCGCGCGCGCTTACAAAATAAATATGGCGGATAAAACTCAGAGCTAACAATCTACATTGTAAAAGAATCTTATGTTTTAAGTTACTTATTACTCACGTTTCACTCTTCGTGTTGGTTTCCGGACGTTGGTAGACACCTTTTAAGCAGTCTTTTTTTCAGGAGATCACGAAATCTTTCCTCGATGCCACCGAAGGTTTCAACAATGAGTTGTGTGCTGGAATCTACAGCATGATCTTGGAGCTGCAAAATAGCAAGCTGTGCAGCACGTACGAGCGTTGGATCGCGTAAAAGTGGGAGACGATCATGAGGATTCTCGCTTTCGGTTGGATCAAAACCAGGGTAATGTTCACAAATGCCCGTGCGAAAGGGAGATTGGAGTGATGGTATTTTTTCCAGATTTCGCTGCAGATTTTCAGGTGAGACGTGATGGATAAAACCAATACTTAAACGGGAAGATCTACTGCCAATGCTGTTGTTGTTAGAAGAGGAAACTTGCCAGACACGAGAACTTTCTGATCTTTTTTCAATGCAAAGAGAACTAAACACATCTGCTGTGAGAACCCCATCAGCTATTTTAATTCCGATGACTTTGCTAAAAGGAACATCAATTCTGTATCTTGTTTTGCTATCACCGCCTGTCGATGGATTGTGTTGAACAGCTTGAACAGCTAATAAAAGCTTTTACTCTTGCAGAACGGGTTACTTCGCTAATATTACTTGGCAAAAGTACATCTTTAACAAGCTCAATGGCACTCGGTTTTTTCTTATTTACTAAATTCTCCGGCTTGTGTTGTTGGTTGGCTCGATAATGGCGCAATAAATTATTGTAGGAACCGTAGTCGTTCTTGCATTTAGAGTATTCACAGCGAAAATTGCTTGAGGAGGAAGTCATTTTGAAATATTTATCGATACAAGAAACAGACAGAGGTTTGTAAAGCCCACCAAAACTCAGTATGTTCGATTTGTCACTTGCCCACGTTGCACGTAAAGTACAGCTTGTTTTTACCCTTAAAATCGGATTGAAAACAACACAAACCAAGAAAATAATTATAAAACAGAAATATTTATTGAAATACCTTAATAATACAGAAATCGGCATCTTAGAAAGTCTAATTTTTAAGCAATATTTAGTTATCACTAGCCTGTTCAAGTCCGAATACAAGTCCGACAACAATAAATATGCATTAAATCAACATGATTTCAGTTCGTATCCGGTTTATTTGTCTTTCAGATGCACCAAAAATCCATTCATGTCTTGTATCTCATTTCTTTTGTCAATTCGTACCAAAAATCGCGAAAGATCAACCAAAATATGAACAAAATATCGCTCTTCGCTTCATCGGCAGCCAGAAAAATTTAACAAATAAACGCGCGCACGGATTTCTGGTATATGGATTTTAAAATGGAATTGCACTTCATATAATTAGTCCGACTCACGTTGAGGAATTATGAATATCTAAACCCTTTCTCCATTTTGATTTGCTTGCCTTGAATGAAACTAGACTGGATTCGTCAATTTCGGACGGTCTAGTCAAAATTGAAGGCTACAATATCGTCAGGAAAGACAGATCACAGAGAGGAGGAGGTATCATTCATAGGTCTAAAATCCGAGATTATCTGGTTTCTGATGGTATATATCGAAGCAATTTGTTTGGAAGTTTCTAAGCCAAATTCCCGGAAATTTACTGACCGCCGAACTCAACCCCTAAGTTTTTCATAACATTTGAAAAAATGATTATAATATAAGTATGATATAACAAGCAATTTGATTGGCTACCGCGCGTGCATTGTGAGGCTATAATGCACGCTTCTGGCTTTTGAAGTTTTTGTTGCTAAGCAACATCTTAAATAACATGTAAGGAGAATTTCATTATTGATCAAATAAATAAATTTTGTGGTTGCCCTATAATTTCTTCTTATATCATAAAAGAATTAAAAAAGCTCGTCGCGTGCCTTTATGGTGTAATAATGCACTCGGGGAAATGTTGGAAGAATACTCGAGAAGCTTGTAAAACACTCGGCTACGCCTCGCGTTTTACAAGCTTCTCTCGTATTCTCCCAACATTCCCCCATCGTGCATTATTACACCATAAAGGCACGCGACTCGTTTTTTAATTCTTAATTAAAATTATTGATGATGAAAATAAAGAACTTCACATGTCAGGAGACCAAAATTGTAATATGTTTATTGCAGCATAAGCTGAATCACAAGTTGAAAGGAGTAATATTACAAACATATTACATTTCAACATGAGCTCCACTTCTAAATTTATTATATCAATAAATTCTTAAACACATCCGAAATTACTAAAACAATAATTTCGCGACGCGTGGCCGAGCATTATGAAACGGAAAGAAACTGGGTCAAAACCAACTCAAATCTTTCACAATGGCGGAGAATTTTGAAAGGGCTGCCAATGCTCGCAAGAAGAAACTCCCTTCCATGGATTGTCTTATTAGGCAAGGTAATGATATTTTAGAAAAGCGAAAAAAGAGAAGAAAGCCTATTCATTATGAGTATAGCACGGATCCAAAAACTGGCCAACGGAGTTGCAAAAATACTTACAATCCAAAGTATTATAATCGCGATGATACCGCCTCTAGTTCAAGATCAAAAAACTTAGAGGAACACAGCGATAATATTTTCCAAGGTATGCTTCTGTTTGTAACATTTTACACAGAACCTACGCCAGATAGGTCCCATCATTCGGATGATTTATTATTTTGTCACTTTTTACGTAGAACAAGAACCACCAGAAGTAAGTTTATTGGATCGTGAATCAGATATGGATGTAACGACAAACGCTGTAGAGGGTATGGATCTAATATAAATATGTACAATTACAACAGCTAAAAATGCTGTGAAGTTTTTAATCCGCTTTGTTGACATTTTGAACCGCTATTGTAAAATATGATGTGCTAAAAGTCAATATTTATTATCTAAACAACGTTCGTATAGCTTTGTGTCCTCTGTGACTACTGACTAGACATTATACACATGCTGCCACATTGCTAGATTGGCTGTGTGCAGGGAAGATTGTGACTCATCATTCACACATATTGCAAACTTTCCAATATGGATACTGTTTATGCATTTATATATTGGAATTTAAAGACCCTGCTACTTTACAAAACTTGGTTTATCGAATGTATATTAAACTTAATGGTGTAATATGGTGTACAATGATTTTGTGGCATTCTACCTAGCAGCTCATTTTTAAAGCAGTATCATCGATTTTGTTTAGATGTGACAATGAATGATATCCTTGAAGAAGCAAAAGGATTATTATGTAACTGGAAATGTGGTGGTCAGCAAAAGAAACGAACCTGGCATGAAAGACAAAATTCCCTTTATGAAAGCTGGGAGGAAGTCAGAAGTAGTTTAATCGAAGTTTTGCTGCAAACTAAATTTTCCATTGGCATTTTTGATGAATTGTTATGCGAAAGCTGTAAAGATGCCATGGCAGTTATTGGATGTCAAGACTGCATTTCACATAGATATGTCTGTGGGGATTGTGATGAGGAGAACCATAAGAACCATCCATTTCATGATCGAGATGCAATTTTGAATGGTTTTCATGAACCTATTCCTCCAACAGCCTCAATTAACAGCAAACTGGAATGTTGGTAAATATTATAGCATGGCTAAAAAGATGTAACTTATACCTTGTGTCAAAAGGTGCATTGTGACCGTGATACTCTCAAGATGCTCTTTAAATATGAAATTTAGCATGATCTATTTAGCATTTATGTCAAACCTAAAGTTCATTTTACATGAGTAAATATTCATTGGCAAATTTTCTCATAAAAAATTTTATTAGGTCTTTTTCAAATAAAGAAACACAGAAACATATTTGTCACATGAAATTTGTAAAAAAAATTGACCAGTCAGTATTATCTTTGTATTATCTCAGCATCTTTGTGAAACTCTAGGTGTGAGATAATGTTTTCCCTTGGTAGGAAAGTTCTGCCATTTTTAGAGGGTTCTTCAAACAGTTTCTGAAAATATATGAATTGTCTATGTATTTTTTAGAACGGTCCCTTCCATTTGGTGATGTTATTTGTCCCACATGCCTATTTCCTTGCAATATTTTATATGATGAGAAGGGTATGGGTTGCATTGCTGTAACATTGAAAGGTATGCTATTTTAGTTGTCTTTTTTATTCACAAAAACATTGTCTTTCTGAAATAGATTCTATAGTTTTATACTGTAGCTATAAATGATACATTATGTTAGGCCGTAGGATGAGCATCCAAAAGATGCTTAGAAAACGGATTCCGTTGCACCCCTCGTGGAACTACATAATTTTCACATGAATCAATAGATAAAAATTTACTTTATCAGAATCCGTTGTTCCCCAAGCGAAACAGGTGCACAATTGGGAGAACAATCCCTCCAAAGTTTTATATATTCGCGCTTCGAAATATTCGAACCGCCATTGTTTTAGTAGCAAATACGCATGCGCTTGTCAGCCAAACTCGCACTGCGCACGCGCATAAGCACGCACATGCTTCGAAGTGGAAACACTCTTAGTTATGCAAAACAATCATGGCTGAAAATATTTATAAAACTCGAATATCCTCATATTTTATTCATTTTGTTGGCGTTACGGAGCAACTTTGCAAAGTTACACGCCAAGGGCTTAAGAAATGTCTTGAGTGTAGGTCTAAATGGGCCAAACTTAAATGTCAACAAGCTGAAATAGCTAAGAAATCGTACGAGAACATCGATGACGGATCTGTCAATTCATACATGGAGAACAGGAGAAGAACCCTGACAGCATTAACTTAGAATGGTACCATCGTATGAAATGCTGGAAGAGATTTTCTGATGAAGAGAATATCCGTAGACAACAGCGAAAAGAAGAAAAAGGAGAAGGAACTAGCTCTAAAACTGTAACTTCTACCGAAGAACTACATGTGGAAGTGGAACCAATAGAACCAAGACGAAAAATTACACGCCAATCAGTCGCAGGCGTTAATAAGACCTTGCCTAAAAGAAACGAGTCCAGAGATATGTATTGTTTGTGGAAGAGACGCCTCTTGGTTCTCACTAGACAAGGTATGGTCATTTTGATAGATATAATTATACTAGTGCAATAGTGCAATGTGTACTAGTAGCACAGCATTCTCGAGTTTGGTTTTAAAATATCTTGAATTGTGGTCAATTAAGTTTATTTAGGGTAAAGTAGTTTTTAATGCTACAAACATCCAACTGTGTTATTAGCAGATATTTAGTTTAATAGTTTTGTTCACACCAGGTAACTAAGAAGAGAAAAAGAACCCCACTCATGTTGGCAGAAATAATTGATGCTGGTCTTCTACGTACAGCTGCCGTGAGTAAGAATGATGAACGGATACTTGTGCAAATCCGGGGAAAGACTGTGTAGCACTGGAAGTCCCCTATCACAAAGTTTGCTACTGCAATTATACAAAATTTCTCACCAGAGAGACAAAGAAGCAATTGGAGACTGAAAGATCTACATCAGTGTACGAGAAGTCTTATGATGTCTTCTGTAAGAAAGTAATCGAGACTGAGGTCATTGTAAATAAGCAAATAAGGTATATGAAAGATTTGCTGGAGAAATTTGTTATCATTGCTAAGGACACCGAGAATGTGGATGCATCTAAATATAGAGCTTTTAAACTCAAGCAACAACTGATGAAAAGTTATCCCCAACTTGTGTTCTAAGTACCGAAAATGAGAAATGTTAGTGAGATTGTATATGTGGAAAATTTGGATTCTTCCGAATTGGTTGAGGAACATATGTCAAACAAGTCAGAAAACAACGATGAAGACTTTGATGAAGAGAGCTATACCGGTACCATTGATGATGATGATCTGAATTCCAACACAGAAACTGAGGAAAATTCTAGAGTCAATGAGTTACAAATTCTATACAATGCTGCATTGATTCTTCGCCAAAAGGTCCAAGATATACCAAAACTGAATCTTCCTTGGCCACTATTGGCATCTGATTTGACAATGGATAATGTACAAAAAGTGGTTCCATGTGAACTTTTTAATGTCTCGGCTTGGACTTGTGGATTCCAACTTTAAGTGAGTACGTGCCAATTGAGGGCAAGAACAATGCCAAACTAACATCAATTGTACAAGACCTTGTGAATTTAGCATCTGGGGGAAGGAATCCTACGCCCAAGAGCATAGCACTTGCCATGGCACTTAGACAACTGACAGGTTCAGCCTCAGTGATTTCTCTATTGAGTGGCTTTGGACATTGCATGTCACACTCATTTGTATTGTGCCATGAAACTGCCCTTGCACAGATGAATATATCCAATGATTCTGCTATTCCTCCAGGCTTTGTTAGTGATGTTCCAACTTCTCTTGCATGGGATAATGATGATTTCTCAGAAGAAACTAGATCTGGCAAAGGGACAACTCACATCACTGGGGGCATTATCATTCAAAGGGAACAAAGTGCAAGTACTGAGTTACAGAAACGGGATAGCATTCCAAGGCTATATTTAAGCGAAATATTTAACTTGTTTCTTGATTGTGTGAGTTGTATGTATATTTATATATTCTCCATCCTGTTTGATACAGGTGGGTTTTTTACCTCACAATTTTTTATTGAATTAAGTTGTTAATAAGTAGAATTATACGTTAAAACGGTATTTTGAAACAATAGCCAATGAATTGAAGTGATTTAGCATATGAGCAAGCAAAATGTACAATGTGTTTTAACAATATTTAATGTGTGTGTATTTATTCGTTAATATTACAAGGTTTGATCTTTATTCCGTGATTTTATTTTGTTATTTTTACACGGGAAATCGGGGAAAACCCACAGGGAAAATCCATTTTTCCTGTCTGCGCGTGCGCAGTGCGAGTTTGGCTGACATGCGCATGCGTGTTTGCTACTAAAACAATGGCGGTTCGAATATTTCGAAGCGCGAATATAGCAAACTTTGGAGGGATTTTTTTCCCAATTGTGCACCTGTTTCACTTGGGGAGCGACGGATTCTGATAAAGTAAGTTTTTATCTATTGATTCATGTGAAAATTATGTAGTTCCACGAGGGGTGCAACGGAATTGCATCTTTTGGATGCTCATCCTACGGCCTATGTAGGCTGAACCTAGCTCCTGCAAGATTCAAACCAGATGATGCTATTCAGATAGGCTTTATAGGCCAAATGTTGATCTCTATCATGGAACTCAAAACTTATATTTTTGTGCTAATTGGTTAAATATTTATTATTATATCTTCAGGTAGATTCGACATTAGTCACACAAAATATGAATGTAAACAATGTGACAATGTTATTTCATCAACAAGTCCCCATGTTTTAATACAGCTGGGGTTTTGGCCTGGAACTATTCGTGACATGACATATGTATTTCACCAAGATCTCTTTCATTTCTGGGATAATTTACAGAAGATTGTTCCTGGAATTTCTCAAAATAGTTTTGTGAAATCACTAGAAATGTTTTCGATACAAAAAGGGCGGGTACGTTTAAACCAACTTCTAAGTATCAACTTCAATGTATCGCTTCATGCAAAAAATGGAATCCTGTTCTTTTATGATTATGTTTGCTAATTGCCTCAGTAGTTAAATAGTTGTACAGATATTAGTTTGATGTATCTTTCTCTATCTTTTATATAGATGGGAACAATTAACAGCAAAACATTTGGTAGCTCTTTTCGTGAATGGAAATATTGCCAATATGAATTGAACAAACTACGGCATATTAACTGGATGGAGTGCCCTGCATGTGAACAGCAGACACTCCGTTCACATGGATGGTAACATGAAACTTTATCGGTACAAATCTGCTGGGATGTAAGTACATTTTGTACACTGAATCACAGACGATGCATTGCAGGAATGCACTAGCTTGGAGGGAAATCGTCAGCTCATATACAACTGAAATGCGTCTTGTATATCACCTAGAAAGAGTTTCAAAGTTATTTCATCATATGTATGTTTTAAAGAGGATAAATTGAAATTATTTAGCAGGAAAAGAGATTGCTACTATGGAGATGCTTTATTGCTTCAAATGAAAAAGTTCAACATCATCTCTGTAAAATTTACAAAAAAGGAAAGGAAAAGGTATTGTTACAATTTGTCTTCTCAAACAATACGAATTTCGTTTACCTCAAAACAATTATAGAACAATAGTCCCATTAAATATCAATGTGTGACATTTGGTGTGGGAAGTTTCTGACCGTAATGCTATGATTTGTAACAAATATTTAGATTATTTTTATACCAAGTGGATCTACTGTACGTATAAAAATAATCTAAAATCGAGCTGTTTCAATTCGGCTATACTTTACCCTAGGTCACAGATGATTCTAAGTGTGGCGATTCTATTTGGCATGCTGCTGGAAATACTTTGAAGAAAAAGAAAATTGTTGATGAAACTGGGCTAGAAATTGCTGGCTGTCGTCACAGTGTTGCCCAGCATGCAGTTAGCATGAAGCACGGAGAAGTGTATGGCTATGCACATTATATGCAAAAGGAATATTACCTTCGTCGTACAACACAATTCTTCTGGTATGATGTCATCTGCAAGTATTGGCCTTGGCTGTGTAAAAATGATGTAACCACATCTCAAAAGATGAAACCTGCTCTTTCCGTAATGCATGCCAAAGCACATGCTTGGTATTGCCAGGTAAATTTCCTTGTGCTTATTATATTTCGTACGTGGCAAGTGTGCAGTCAAGTGCAGTGTCCATTGTGTAATCTTTTTTGCAGGTTATTTGGGGAGGGCGATGGCAAGATGGCGCTTCTGCAACAACAGGAGAGGAAGTAGAACAGATTAACAGTCATTTCTCGCGGTTAGGGTGCACTACCAAGCATATGTTACCTGAAGGTAAGCATGTGCAATAAAATTATCAAACCAGTTAAACGTTTAATTCTGATGTATGCATACATAGGACGAGAGGAATTGCTGACTGAACATGCACTGGAGTGGAATAAAAGAAAAATAACCAAACTGTCAAGTATTCTTGCGAAAAGATATACAAAAGTTATTAATTTTTCTATTTTTTACCTAATAGTAATAGTAACTATACCATAACAAGGGAAACCATAACAAGGGAAATTTCGTTTTAGACCAATCAGTAAGTTTGTTTACATTTTCAGTAACCCAATCAGAATAATCATCATTTTACATGATGTATTAAAAATTTAGGCATTCTGATTGGCTTAGCCTAAAAAGTGTAAGCAAATATGCCGAATAGTTTAAAACGAAATCCCCCCTTGTCACATAACATAGCTACAAATACTTTGCCAAATCCGTTTCGGTAGTTTTCGTCAAAAATAAGACAGAAACAAATTTATTAAAAAAAAAGGTGTGGGTAGAAATTTAAAGCGTGGAGGATTGAAAAATATGTAGATGCAATGCAAATTTCCCATGCACGGAAAGGGGAGTACTGAAATGTATAATCTTCTCTTGGAAAAATAATAATGTGTTCTGTACTTTTATATGCATGGTTCTAGGCTAAAGATAAAACCGCCATCATGCAGAAAGAATTAGAAAGCATGTCAGAGAAACTTGAGTGTGATCCAACAACATTACAGAAATGGAAAGAAGATATATTTGACGCTGCTAAACGTACGTATAGAATTTTGTGTAGTTTTGTTCAGTTTACATGCAGTACATGATACTGTGGCGAATCTATTATTATAAATAATAAAACTAAAAACGTTAGGTATGCTCTTCTCAGAATGCGATGTCTTGGTGTTTTTTTCGTGCAATGACGACGTGTTTCTTTTTTCTCTTTCAAATTTATGTCAGTGGATGAAAAATCGAGAAATAAAAGATATTCCATAACTCCGGAGGAAATGAAATACATATGTCATTTGCTCACATTAGATGTGTTAACGCCAAAAGAGAAGGCCTTGTTTGACGTTGCTGAAAAGATTTATAAGGAAAAATCTAAACAGTTTCAGCCCAAGATCTGTCGCAATTATTCCTTTGGTGAAGGTGTTTTAAAAAATAAATCTTTGGAATATTTGAGATACAATATGGAATTCCATCATAACGCGATCTCTCATCTGGCATTTAACATTGCAAAACTTGCAGGTGGTTCTACATTTAATAGCTACATTTTCAGTGTCTCTTCCTTTATTTCAGTAGTAACATTTAAAGCCAACGTTTCCGTGCGAGTAAAACACCCATAAAAAACGAAACCGCGGAAAATTAGCCTCCACATGCGGGATAAAGGGAAGGTAACATTTTAACCAAATATTATTTTCTTCAAGATTCTTCGAAGCAACGAAATAAGTTAAGGAGAAAGATCAGCAAAGAGAAAGAGAGTATCCATTCTTTGATTTCAATTATAATCGAATTGCAGACGAACCGCTAAGCAACATAGAAGAAATTTTAAATGGAAAGTTTCCATGGAATTCTCGGAACGAGCCAGTTGATGAGTGTGAGTAGCTACTGTTTCTCGTATACAGACTGAGCCAGGCTTGCAAATAGAACTTGTACGTACATAATTATAAATTGCCGGACGCGTAGTACATTATATATGAATATATTGTGCCTTTCATACAATAGTGCCTTTGGTAACGAGACGATCTGTGGTGGATAAGTTGATGGAAATTCAACGGTTTCAGGAGGAAATCGAAGTTACTAAAAAGGAAATGTTCCAATACCTTGAATATTACACCAAGAAATGCCTTCCGGCACTTTATAGCGAACTTGCAAAATTGGAAAACCTGCTGCAAGGTAATTTTCCCGGTCACTTTTAGAATTGTGAAATATAGAGTATGTTTTCAGCGATCGATTGCAAAAAGCTTTTGTCCTTATTGGAAAAATGTAAATTATGTTTTTAAACTCTGTGAGCTGCGCGTCAAAGAACATAAGCAATATAACCTTGACTGAACTGCAGTCTATTCGGCTAAATGCAACAGATCCAAATTTTTATTGCAGGTGTAAAGGCTGGTTTTCATATAACGTAATTCTTTGACGATGGTTATTGTGTCGGTGGCCCTTGACATCTGAAAACCAGGCTTAAAATTATTTTTAATTTTCGAACATATAGGTAAAAGTCGCAGCCAATGTGGTGGTGAACAGCCTGTCTTGCGGTGGAAAGTGCTGTGTGTGTGGTATGTTTTTCGGCGGTAATTACTTTGTAGGTTTAAAGGGTGATGAAGTACAATTTATGCATATTTGTGGATAGCCCATATCCTGAATCATGCAGTGAACATTTCAGCTACCATATTGTAACCATCTTCACGAAGCACGAAGTTTCTTGTATACGAGCAAAATGTTATGGTTGGAATTATACTGCATTACATGCATGGTGTATCAAAAAGCTAAAAACCTACGCCGTACATACCTTCTCATGGACGCACATTTTTTATTGTTTGGCCATTATGTAAGCTCTTGGAAGGTCTATTGGGTGTTAATTGTGTGTATCTAATGCGAAGATGCGATAATTTAAAAGTTATTTAGGTCCGCAATTTCCTTTTCGACATTTCTGTAAGCCACATCTGTAAGCTATGCGATTGCTTTTTATGTAACGTATATTGAAATCTTTTTATTTTAGGCAAAAACCTATTCTACAAGCTCAGTCAAAAGGACCATTGTCAGAGGAAAGCTTGCCTTGGTTAACGAAGGAATTAACTTTGCCATGCAACAATTAAGGCTTGGAATCCAATCTTTCTTGCCAGTTCTCGGTTTACAATTGTCTGGATTCCAGGACATAATTGAGTCGCACAATGACAATACTAAGCAATCCTATGAAGATGTGGAGGATGAGCTGGAAAGAGATACAAATTTTGATATGGATAGTGAAACCGACAGTGACACTGATAACGACAATGAGAGTATCTATTCCGAATGGGAGTTTGACACCTAAGATGGTCGATACGTCCCTAATTATTCGTGCTTGTTGTAAAATGTTATAATTCGTAAAGTTATTTTCTTCGCTTTAAATCCTAAAAAGTCGTTATATTATTTAAACACAACTTCTGAATTCTGTACAAAATCAACTTTGTTTCGTAAAGTTAAGGGCGTCCTGGAACAATACCCTTTTGAAGTCGTAATATATTTTGACTTATTAAAATATAATATCTTTGTCAAGGCAACAATTTTTTGGCCGTGGAAATTATAAACAGATATGAGGATTTACTTATGTCAAGTTCTATATATATTGCTAACTAAAGGTATATGAAAGTATACTAATTTGGCTGTTTTGTGCGTTTTTGTGTCATCTTGTGGTAACAGGGTGCTTAACTGCTGTAAAACTAGGGTGTAGTAACACCAATGTCGACAAATCGCACATTTGTCACGTTTTTGTTCCTAATTTACTGTTTTGTGCGTATTTGTACCATTTTGTGGTAACAGGGTGCTTAACTGCTGTAAACTATGGTGTAGTAACACCACTGTTGACAAATTCGCATTTGTCACGTTTTTGTTCTTAATTTACTGTTTTGTGCGTATTTGTACCATCTTCTGGTAACAGGGTGCCTAAGTGCTGTAAAACTATGATGTAGTAACACCAATGTCGACAAATTCACATATTTAACACGTTTTTGTTGTTAATGTGTTTGTTTTGTGCGTTTTTGTGTCTTATTGTGGCAACAGGGTGCCCTAACTGCTGTAAAACAATGATGCAGTAACACCAATGTTGACAAATTCGCATATTTAACACGTTTTTGTTTGTTAATTTGATTGTTTTGTGCGTTTTTTGCCATTGTGGTTAAAAGTGTGTGTAACTGCTGTAAAACTTGGGTGTATTACACAATGTCGACAAAATCGCATATTTGTCACGTTTTTGTTCCTAATTTACTGTTTTGTGCGTATTTGTACCATTTGTGGTAACAGGGTGCTTAACTGCTGTAAAACTATGGTGTAGTAACACCAATGTTGACAAATTCGCATATTTGTGACGTTTTTGTTCCAATTTACTGTTTTGTGCGTATTTGTACCATCTTCTGGTAACAGGGTGCCTAAGTGCTGTAAAACTATGATGTAGTAACACCAATGTCGACAAATTCACATATTTAACACGTTTTTGTTGTTAATGTGTTTGTTTTGTGCGTTTTTGTGTCTTATTGTGGCAACAGGGTGCCCTAACTGCTGTAAAACAATGATGCAGTAACACCAATGTTGACAAATTCGCATATTTAACACGTTTTTGTTGTTAATTTGATTGTTTTGTGCGTTTTTTGCCATTGTGTGTTAAAAGTGTGTGTAACTGCTGTAAAACTTGGGTGTATTAACACTAATGTCGACAAATTCGCATTTGTCACGTTTTTGTTCTAATTTACTGTTTTGTGCGTTTTTGTCATCTTGTGGTAACAGGGTGCTTAACTGCTGTAAAACTATGGTGTAGTAACACCACTGTTGACAAATTCGCATATTTGTCACGTTTTTGTTCTTAATTTACTGTTTTGTGCGTTTTTGTGTTATCTTGTGGTAACAGGGTGCTTAACTGTTGTAAAACTATGTGTAGTAACACCAATGTGACAAATTCGCATATTGTCACGTTTTTGTTAATTTACTGTTTTGTGCGTTTTGTGTCATTTTGTGGTAACAGGGTGCCTAACTGCTGTAAAACTATGTGTAGTAACACCAATGTTGACAAATTCGCATATTTAACACGTTTTTGTTTAATTTACTGTTTTGTGCGTTTTGTCATCTTGTGGTAACAGGTGTGTAACTGCTGTAAAACTATGGTGTATAACACCAATGTGACAAATTCGCATATTTGTCACGTTTTTGTTCTAATTTACTGTTTTGTGCGTTTTGTGTATCTTGTGGTAACAGGGTGCTTAACTGCTGTAAAACTATGGTGTAGTAACACCAATGTTGACAAATTCGCATATTTGTCACGTTTTTGTTCTTAATTTACTGTTTTGTGCGTATTTGTACCATCTTCTGGTAACAGGGTGCCTAAGTGCTGTAAAACTATGGTGTAGTAACACCATGTGACAAATTCGCATATTTGTCACGTTTTTGTTCTTAATTTACTGTTTTGTGCGTATTTGTACCATCTTCTGGTAACAGGGTGCCTAACTGCTGTAAAACTATGGTGTAGTAACACCAATGTTGACAAATTCGCATATTTCACGTTTTTGTTAATTTACTGTTTTGTGCGTTTTTGTACCATTGTGGTAACAGGGTGTTAACTGCTGTAAAACTATGGTGTATAACACAATGTTGACAAATTCGCATATTTGTCACGTTTTTGTTCTAATTTACTGTTTTGTGCGTTTTGTCATCTTTGTGGTAACAGGGTGCTAACTGCTGTAAAACTATGGTGTAGTAACACCATGTTGACAAATTCGCATATTTGTCACGTTTTTGTTCTAATTTACTGTTTTGTGCGTTTTTGTGTCATCTTGTGGTAACAGGGTGCTTAACTGCTGTAAAACTATGGTGTAGTAACACCAATGTGACAAATTCGCATATTTGTACGTTTTTGTTCCCAATTTACTGTTTTGTGCGTATTTGTACCATTGTGGTAACAGGGTGCTAACTGCTGTAAAACTATGGTGTAGTAACACCAATGTTGACAAATTCGCATATTTTTAACACGTTTTTGTTCCAATTTACTGTTTTGTGCGTTTCTGTGTCATCTTGTGGTAACAGGGTGCTTAACTGCTGTAAAACTATGGTGTAATAACACCACTGTTGACAAATTCGCATATTTGTCACGTTTTTGTTCTTAATTTACTGTTTTGTGCGTTTTTGTGTTATCTTGTGGTAACAGGGTGCTTAACTGTTGTAAAACTATGGTGTAGTAACACCAATGTTGACAAATTCGCATATTTGTCACGTTTTTGTTCTTAATTTACTGTTTTGTGCGTTTTGTACCATCTTCTGGTAACAGGGTGCCTAAGTGCTGTAAAACTATGGTGTAATAACACCACTGTTGACAAATTCGCATATTTGTCACGTTTTTGTTCTTAATTTACTGTTTTGTGCGTATTTGTACCATCTTCTGGTAACAGGGTGCCTAAGTGCTGTAAAACTATGGTGTAGTAACACCAATGTTGACAAATTCGCATATTTGTGACGTTTTTGTTCCCAATTTACTGTTTTGTGCGTATTTGTACCATCTTCTGGTAACAGGGTGCTTAACTGCTGTAAAACTATGGTGTATAACACCAATGTTGACAAATTCGCATATTTGTCACGTTTTTGTTCCTAATTTACTGTTTTGTGCGTATTTGTACCATCTTCTGGTAACAGGGTGCCTAAGTGCTGTAAAACTATGGTGTAGTAACACCAATGTTGACAAATTCGCATATTTGTGACGTTTTTGTTCCCAATTTACTGTTTTGTGCGTTTTTGTGTCATCTTGTGGTAACAGGGTGCTTAACTGCTGTAAAACTAGGGTGTAGTAACACC